CAACCTGTTAAGGCCACATCTGTTTGAATAACTTAAAAGCCCTATTGAAACCAAGTACCTTTTAGAGTAAGAAATCCAAGAAAAGGATGAAGAGCAGAGTGGCAAGCAATAGCTTGGAGTGAACATATTCCCAAGAATAAATTTCTTCCTTGACAATCTACTTTCTTTACTGATCATACCCCACAGTATAAACTGCATTAAGGTGACTGAAGTTGGTTAATTACCTATGTATAGCTGGATGATTCACAGGGTCTAGTCTGATTCCCCTGCCCTGTGTGAGACTAGTCCTGGTCCCATAGTTCCATATAGTTCTGATGTCTAGGACATCAGGGATTGAAACTCTCAAGCACTGAATGGAAGTGCCACTAGCTATAGTTTAGTTTTTGGTATTTCTTACAAGCACAATTTGGGTCTAATGATTAACTATAAAATCTAGGGAAGTCTTCCAGCCCTGTTTTAGTTTTCTTGCTTGTATGAATGTATATGTGTTTGTTACTTTGTTTATCTTTGAGATAGGATAGGCTTTGGCTTTTGGAGTGTGGACATATATTTCTGATAGAGTAACAGTTATTCACAAATACAGTTTCATTGCCAAGAAATTAAAAATAAATAAATTGACACTATTTTTGAGCTTTTCTCCAAAAGAAAAACAAATGATGCTTGTGGGCCAGACAGCTGTTTGTTACATGTGGGTTTTTTGTTTGGTGTTTTTATGTTGGACAGACACATGGGTATGAGAGTTCCTAGTTCCCATTCCAATGAGTCAAACAACTCTGATTGCCAAGTAAACAGCAGTTTGGAGGAAGGCAGGGGCAAGGGCAAGAGATTTATCCCTAAGATACATTATTTCCTACTCTTATCTCTCACTTGAGGCTGAGAGGCCAGCAGAATTCCCAGTGATCTCATAGCCTCTTCTTTTTCCACAGATACCACCTCCTCAAACTCCTCCAGAAGTTTGGTAAGGTGAAGCAGTTCGACTTCCTCTTCCACAAGTCAGGTGCTTTGGAGGGACAGCCTCGAGGGTACTGTTTTGTTAACTTTGAAACTAAGCAGGTAATTTTGCTTTCCTCCCCCTTTCCTGGTAATTGCCACACTCCATAATCATTTGTGCATCTCTTGTGTACTAGACCAGCAGTTTCTTGTTGCCTGTGTGCCTTATGGCAAATACTAAAAAAGATGCACAGTTAAGGAATGGCTTGCAAGATCTCCTCTCCCCAGGCTCAAGGTATAAGGCGACCAACCTACTTTATTTAGCAAAGGATTTGGGATACCCACATGGAGTGTGTGGGTATTCCCCCTTCCTATCCTGTTTTGTTTCTTTATTGGCTGGCCAACAAAACTCCTTTTCTTTCAGAATTTTTGCCCTGTGGTACAGAAACTTTGTAGTGAGCCACCCACAAACTTCATTTTATTTTGATTTCTTAAAAATGTACCCTTCTCACGGCTGGAATTGTGGATCAGTGGTAGAGTGCTTGCCTCACGCATGTGAGGCACTGGGTTCAATTCTCAAGATCACATAAAAAGTAAATAAATCTAATAAAGGTATTGTGTCCATCTATATATATCTTCTTATATTTAAATTTAGTTTTTGCAGTAGAAATACATTGATAAGAGATAGAACTGGAATGTTATTAAATGTAAAGATGCGGGGCTGGGGTTGTAGCTCAGC